TCGTGCTTCTACTATGGAGGGCTGGGGTTCAATCTCTGGTTGGAGAAGTTCAGCATGTCCCGCAGTGTGGCCAAAAAAAAATAAGATAATGGGAAATTACTTCTTGTTTGGTATTTTGTGCACAGATATTTACACACACAAATATACACACAGAGCTAATAATTATACCAAATGTCAATAATTGTTGCATTTAAGCAGTAGATACATGTCAGAAGATGTTTCTTTCAAGTTTTCTTGAATTTTTCAAGACAAAAAGTAGCAAAAAGATTAAAACAGTTTTAAATTATATACCTTTACGACTATGAAGAAGAAGTCATTTTAAACAAACAAACTAAGTCAGGGACCTCCCTGGTGGTTCAGTGGTTAAGAATCTGGCTGCCAGTGCAGGAGACATGCATTCCATTCCTGGTCAGGGAAGATTCCACATGCTGCCGAGCAACTAAACCCATGCTCCATGATAAGAGAAGTCACAGCAATGAGAAATCTGTGCACCACAGAAAGAGAATAGCCCCCACTCTCCTCAACTAGAGAAAGCCCATGTGCAGCAACAAAAACCCAGAGCAGCCAAAAATAAATAATTTTTTAAAAAATAATAAAATACTACAGAAAAAAATTCAGAGAGGACTAGATGAAACAAGATTGGCAAAAGGTTGATAACCGTTAGAGCTGAAAGGTACATGGGTTGGGTGGATAAGAAGGGGGTGTTCATACTATTCAGTTTACTTTTGTGTCTGTCTAGAAGTGTTTAAGATAAAAAGTTAAAATAATACATGCTTTGTTTGGCCAGATTATATACAGACACATGTACATATTAAACTATACAAAAAATTAATATAAAAACAAAGTGTATGTAAAAGGAGAAGGGGGTGATGGCTCAGAGAAAAGACATTGTAATTTGCATTTTTCTCTCAGTGTGAATTGTAAATGTCCTTTGCTTTCTGTTCTTCTGCTCTGGTAGAAGACAAGGCTGTCTCACCAGAGTGTGAATTTCTATTTCTTCAGAGCCCTCTATTACTTACTGGTCTCCTTTTAGGTCTTGGGGTTCTTCTTGTCTATAAACAACTGAAAAGCCAAGATCAGGCTCCAAAATGTTCAGAAATTATGTACTGTTTTCAGTTTCTTCACTTCTGAAGAAGCTAAAAAAATATCTAATGGTCCCTGGGTTGCCTTCACCACAGCTAAGGCTGCAGTCATTTCTCATTCTCAGTTATCTTTCCTTCTAGTCTTGTCAGTTGACCAGTGTTCTCTGGGCTTTTATTTATCTTTTAATGTTTCCTTTCGCTAAGGCTAGATTCCAAACCCGTAAACCCTGAGGTCTGGCAGGGCATCTTCTACACAAGACTACCTTTATTGCTTCCCAGATGACCATTTGATAACCCCAAAGTCTCACTCTCTCATCCCTTGGTATAACTCAGGAGGCAAAATAAAACAAACAAAAGGAATGCTGAGAATTATCAAGCATCACTAGTGAGTTTCAAGAAGTTCAAGGTGGCTAAGAGCTGTCCTAATTATTAGGCCCACAATGTGGGGGAAAGTTGTTGAAAAGGAGAACAGTTTGTCCTTTCCAAGTGGGAGCCCTTAAAAAAATGACATCGTTAGTTCATTTGCTCTTCAGACATTGTGTAAACATTTTGGGATGATGGAAATGTTAAAAAAAAAATGATGACAGGCAAAAAAAAAAAAAAAAAAAAAAAGCCCTGAGTCAGTATTTTTTGCAAAAGTAATGAAAAAGAGTGCTCTGANATGAATTGTTACTGGGTTTTATCAAATGCTTTTTTGGATTTATTGAGATGATCATGTGGCTTTTGTTTTTATTCTGCTAATATAATGAATTATTTTGATTGGTTTACATATGGTGGACCACGCTTGTATTCCTAGAATAAATTTGGTTATTTGTATTGTATAATCCTTCTTATATGTTTTTGGATCCCATTTGCTAGTAATTTTTGTGTCTATCTTCATAAACAATATTTGCCTCGGGTTCTTTTCTCTCCTAATATCTTTATCTGATTTTGGCATCAGGGTAATACTGGTCTTAAAAGGATAGTCAAGATGTGTTCAATAGCTTTTGGGCATTTATTTTGTATAAGTGAATCTACACATTTTTCCTGATCCATGACATTCCTGAGAAGAAGATACGCTTATCAAGATTTTTGATGATGTTGTGCATACAGCACAAGTCATTTACTCAAGGTCACAAACAGTAATTTTCAGAACCGGGATTTGAATCTCAGGCTTGTCATAATCTGAAGCCTACAATCTTCCTCAAAGTTTCAGTCGCTCAGTCATGTTCAACTCTTTGCGACCCCATGGACTGTAGCCTACCAGGCTCCTCTGTCCATGGGATCTTCTAGGCAAGAGTACTGAAATGGGTTGCCATTTCCTACTCCAGGGGATCTTCCCAACATGGGGATCGAACCCTGTGTCCCTGTGTCTCCTGCATTGGCAGGCAGGTTATTTACCATCTGAGCCACAAGGGACGCTCACAATCTTCCTAACAAGCCATTTTATTGCACATGTTTCTCTGTTACCCAGTTCTTTGCTTCCCTCATCTCTGTAACCGGCACATCCGTACCCTGCTTTCTTGTCCTAAGAATGTCTCCTGCAAATTCTGCTTCATCAAGTCCTACTCATTCTACTCACCTTCCTCTATCTTCTTCCACTCATGCCAGGCTCAGCTAAAACTTTAGTGTCTTTTTTTCATTTGCTCTATTTTCAGCTATTTTTACATTTTAATCACCATCCTGTTTATTCTGTTAGAATAAACCAGCCTATCCTTTAGAGTACTGTCCTTGCTTCTCAAGTCACCCTAGTTCACATCCTCATTTTAGGGTGATCCTAAATTATACCTATACCTGAATTTCAACTTGATTGTTAACAAAAATATCTGACACTCATTCTCTTGATTATCCTCTTGGCTTTGTTCCACTGACTTCTGGTGCTAAATTTTATTGAGTAGAAACTTGACACTAGCCTATTTCTCTCCTTTAAGCAACTGAAGGTTTTCTCTGATGCTGGAGTCTTCTTCTAGCTTACAGATCAATAACTGAGACATATTTAATTTTATGGATAAATTTTTCTTTAAACATGACTCCTGATCTTGGCGCATGAGTTCCATATGTTATTCTCCTTGACCTCTACTCTCTTCATGGCAGTTCCCTCTAAGTTTATCCTTCAAGATAAGCACCTGCTGCTCCTGCTGCTGCTAAGTCGCTTCAGTCGTGTCCGACTCGGTGTGACCCCATAGACAGCAGCCCACCAGGCTCCGCCATCCCTGGGATTCTCCAGGAAAGAACACTGGAGTGGGTTGCCATTTCCTTCTCCAATGCATGAAAGTGAAAAGTGAAAGTGAAGTCACTCAGTCGTGTCCAACTCTTAGGGACCCCATGAGCTGCAGCCTACCAGGCTCCTCCGTCCAAGGGATTTTTCCAGGCAAGAGTACAGGAGTGGGTTGCCATTGCCTTCTCTGAGATAAGCATCTAGTCTTTCTGAAATGATTTTTTCCCCTATGTCTGGAGTCTTCTTTAATAGAGGTTATTAGCTCCTAAGCCTCACTCTCACTTCTGCTTACCAGTCCTCATTCTCTGACATGCTTTTAACTAATCTCAACAGTATTGGGAACTGCTTATGTGTATTTTGGTGTTCATGGGCTTTTCCTTTCTCTGAACTTCACCAAAACTTGAGTTCTCTGTTTTGGTCTCCATTTGTGGCTTTTAATTGATTCTAAGAGATGAAAGGGGTAGGATTCATACCTAAGCTGTTATGCTGATCATACTAATGAATCCTCCCCTCCCAACCCCTGCCCAGGCCCACCCCCATCTGCTGGGAGAGTCAGGGATCAAACGATGGAAGACTGGAAAGGAATAAAGTATAACTCTTAAAAAAAAAAAAAGTATAACTAAATGCTGCAAAGGGAGACTGAAAGTTGTGAAAGGAAAATTATTATTCAATCAATTTTACTAACAGAGATCTGGAAAATGGAATGGGGAGACCACGGAGAAAGTATGACTTATACACTTATAAGTCAGAAAGTATGACTTATGATAGAATCTTAACTTCCAGAAACTCAAGATACTTAGAAAACCCTGACCCTAAAATAACTCGAGAGCCTGTCTACTTATCAAACCTTCCCCTAAAATAACTCAGTGACAGCCTAGTCCTTCAGAACAAATATTTCCTTTTCTAAAGTCAAAGTCAATCATAATTCCTTCCAGACAATGTTATTTACTTTGTGGGGTTTACCTTTGGAAGTCTTCGACTCTTTCTCTTCTGGAACACTCTTGGTTTTACCCAAATCTGTCTCTCAAATTGCAGTTCCTAAGACCTCCAAATAACCTTTTTTTTTTTTTTTTTTGCAGCCTTCTGTGCTTTCTTGGAAGACAAGCTGTACCCATGAAAACAAGATCCCTAAGGCATGGAAGGGTGTGGGATCCACGGCTATACAAGAAACAGAGCTATGATTTATAAGAGACAAGTCTGAAACTATGTGTCAGGCACATTGGTTTGCTTTTTGCTTCTCCAAAAGTCAAAACTGATAGTACCAGAACATGCACCCTAAACGGTCACTGTTGGCCAGATGAAGAAAGTGAGGTAACTCCAATTTCACCTGTGGCTTTACTCACTGGGGCCATTATCAAAGTCAACATTACCATGCACAACAAACTGCTGGACGCGCCTGATAATCCGTCCCCATCCGCCCCATTCCGGGGTCGCTCTGCTTCACTTTCCTGCTGAGGGTTCGTATCTGAGACTCCTAGGTTTCCGCTCCCGGACTAGCACAGATCACACACCACGTTAATCCACGGAGGAAGGCAAAAATGGTGCTTTAGTCAATCTGGAATATTCTCAGAGTAAGCTACAACTAGAAGGGTCTTGGGCGCCACTCTGTCCTCCACTGCAAGCTCTGTGCAAAAAGACAACCAAGACAATCTTCTACTTAGGCGGGCGCCTCACCCATTCTGGTTCTAGACTACATTTCCCAGAAGTTCTTGCTGCTCTAATCTACTTTCGGCGCGAATCTAGCGACATTTTTCTATTTCTCAGGGGACAGTGGCTCCATGGGATTGGCCTGGCCTTTGGAGGAAGCTTGTCTCTGGGACGTGGGGACTGTATCTGTATCTCAAGATCCTTGGCAGCAATCCCGAGAGGGGAGAAGAGGTGTAACTTGGCCCCAGGCAGTGCAGGAAATCCGAGAGCGAGCAGCCATCTTGTCCTAGCGGATCTGGCTCCGGACTACATTTCCCAGAGACCCTAGCGCGTATAGGGCCGACCCATCACTTGCCTGCGGGACCCTCGGCCTCCGGGGAAGGGGAAGTGCAAGGTGAGCAACCTAGGTCCTGGGGGCTCGACTAGGTTCCGGATGTGCATCTCTGAGGGTCTGAAGGGACAGTCCAGGCGGGTCCGAAGTCTTGGGCCTGTATGATTTGATAGGACTGGGGGAGGGGGAAGTGTGGGATTCCATGTGTGTGATTGTGACCTTATGTGACCGTGCGGCGTTGTGTGCGCGTGTGATTATATGTCCCTGTAGTGGGTGTGTCATTGTGACTGACCATGCGCGCGAAACTGTGTGCAGGTGTGACTGTGGATATCCTCGCTGTGGTGTGTGATTGTGACAGTGTGCGGCTCCGACCCCGTAGGGGGACAAGTGATTGTGGGTACCCATATAACTTTGTGCTGTGTGTGTTGGGGTGGGGAGTGTAGAGAATCTGTGATTGTGCTGCTATGACTGTTATCTGAGGGCTGCCTCTGATGGTGGTTTTATGAACGTTAGCAGTACTAAGTGTACTGGATGTCTATGACTGTGTAAGGATGTGTGAGTGTGATCACATAAGTTTTTGTGGCACTGTGTGTGCGGTTGGAAAGTGCCTGTAACTGTGCCAAGCTGACAGTGTGTGTGTCCCAGTGGTTGATGTCTGAGATCAGGACAGATTTTGGTCTTGAGCAGCAGACTTTTCCCCTTCTGCGACCAGGAATGCTCAGAACAGCCTCCACTCCTCTGAACTCTCTCCTTCCCTCCTTCCCATGGGTAGTAGGTGTGAGTCCAGAGTGACCTCTTATCTAATCAGCCTGAGTCACAGAAAGACCTGGCATTTCATGATTCCTTTCTCCTTCCTCCAGCTCTGTCTTTCTCAGAGAGGTCCCCTGAGGAGAAGGAAGAATGGCTGTTGACCAAGCCCAATACAAGGTGCGCTGGGGTTTCATTTTTGTTTTATAAGTACCCTGGTGCACATGTGCATGCTTTCATAAGCATACCAATAGAGTTGCTAGGCCGAAGATATGTCTGTATTTTCAAATTTCCTAGATAATGCTGGACTGATATGGTTGTATCTGTTAAATTCTTACTAGCAGTTTATAAGCATAGTCATCCTGTATTCTAATACTTGGTCATGTGGTTTTAAAAGTATAACATACATTATGGTGTGTTACACAGTAGTTTCACTGCCCTAAATATCTTCTGTGCTTTACCTATTCATCCCTCTTTGCTTCCTTCCTCCTAACCCCTGGCTACCATTGATCTTTTTACAGTCTCCATAGTTTTGCCTTTTCCAGAGTGTCATATAGTTGGCAAATAGAGCTTTTCATATTGACTTCTTTCACTTAGTATATGTCTTTTCATGATTCCATAGGCCATTTTCTTTTCTTTTCTTTTTTTGGCTGAATAAAATGGCATTGTCTAGATGTACCACAGTTTATTTAACCATTCACCTACTGAGGGACATCTTGTTTTTCTCAAGTTTTTGCAATTATGAATAAAGCTGCTATAAACATCTGAGCACAAGTGACATAATTTTTTAACTCTTTGGGATAAATATCAAGGTGCTTGCTGGATCATATGGTAAGAGTATGATTTTGTAAGAAGCTGCCAAACTGTCTTCCAAAGTGGCCATTCTGTTTTGCATTCCCACCAGCAATGTGTGAGAGTTCCTGTTGTTTCACACCCTGGCCAGAATTTAGTTGTCAGTGTCCTGGATTTTGGCCATTCTCATAGGTGTGTAGTGGAGGAGTCTTTTATTTAGACATTAAAATATATTTGTAAATTATAATAAATAGAGAATGTGATACTGGCAAAATAATAAACAGATCACTGAATCAAAGTAGAATCACAAATCCGAATGTATCATCTCTGATAAGGGTAGCATTTATTTTTAAATATTTATTTATTTGGCTGTGTAGGGTCTTAGTAGTTGTACTCAGGATCTCTGATCTTCATTACAATGTGCAGGATCTTTTAGTTGTGGCAAGTGGGATCCAGTTCCCTGACCAGAGGTCACACCCTGGCCTCTTGCATTGGGAGCTCAGTTAGGCACTGGACTGCCAGGAAAATTCCAAGGGTTAACATTTAAATCAGTATGGAAAATATATTCCATAGTCATCTATGGATGACTCTAAGGTATAAGGATGACTCTAAGGCTCATTTTTTCCCCCGCATTTCAACATGTATGAAATAAGGTTATGTCTTAAATAGTTCCTCATTTCTTAGTAGAAATAAAATAATGGTGCATATTAAGTCGCATAGAATACTATGTTATTCATATGTGATTTTGGTACATTTGGGTAAGCCCTCTCTGGGGGAAAATGAAGTAGGATTCTTAACTCATATCTTTTACTAAAGTAAAATTATAATTGATAATCTCATGCCATTGTCTTTTACCAAATAATACCAAAATAAAAATAATAATTGATTAAAGGCTTAAATGTAATGAAAGCATTACAATTGTAGAAAAAAGAAAAAAATTTTAATGTAAATATCTATGGGTAAGAAAGCTCTTACTCCAGAACTAGAAGAGTTGAAATTTTAACTTTTGTGTGGCTAAAACACATAAGCAGAGGTTTTTGTTTTTGTTTAATATTTATTTGGCTGCACTGGGTCTTAGTTGCAGCACTTGGAATCTTTGATCTTTAGTTTCGGCATGTGGGATCAAATGCCCCTGCACTGGGAGCTCTGAGTCTTAGCCCCTGGACCACCAGGGAAATCCCTGGTGGTTGTTTTTTAGAAAAAAACAAAGCTAGTGCATAAAGAAAGGAGTGCCTCAGTGTGAATATGAGCATAGTTGCATGTTGGGGGAAGTTGACCTTCTCAGGCTTGGAAAATGAGAATTGCTTAAGGAAGTCTTTAGCCCTAATTGGGCTTCCCTAGTGATTGAGATGGTAAAGAATCCACCTGCAATGCAGGAGACCCAAGTTCCATCCCTGGGTTGGGAAGATCCCCTGGAGAAGGAAATGGCACCCCCTTCCAGTATTCTTGCCAGAAAAAAAATCTCATGGACAGAGGAAACTGGTGGGCTATAGTCCATGGGGGTCACAAAGAGTCGGAGCAACTGGGCAACTAACACTTTCACTTCACACTTAGTCCTAATTAGAATAAACTGTGTTCCTGGCCACAGGTACCATTTAGGTAAAGCTTGCTTGGGGACCTGAGGGCTACAGAGGAGGGGTCCACTCAGAGCAGGTCATAGCAGCTCTGTCTTGGGTTCAGAGCAACAGCAGCACTGAGATGGGGCAAGGTCTTGCCTGGATCACTTGGCTGAGGTAGGAACCTGGGTTGCTTATATGAAGGAGAGGAAATATGAGTCTTTATTCCTTTGAATCAACTAGCTGGGATCCATCTTGCTGCAGCAAAAGCCTGGGATTTCTGGAGTTGAGGAATGAGGGGGATTTATTCCAGACTCCCACTCACTAACTAGAGTTATATCCCAAGACCAAGGGAAATGGAAGTAATTTGCCTGGAGAGTCCAAAAGCTGTAAGGCTAGAGTTGTCTCTAGATATTTCTTTGATTTCCCAGGCCTGCCTTCTCAGAACACTATCTTTTTTCAGGAGAACAGCCCCAAGGAGGACTAATCATCTCCTGTAATACTGAAAGCCATGGCCCAGGTAAGTTAGCTGAGGCTCTTTCTTATCTTCCTGACATTCAGTTCTTTCTAAGAAAAACAAACAAACAAAATTTTAAGGGTATGTGAGCCCAATCTCTTACTTTGTAGGTAGCCCTTCCGTCTCTTTCCTTTCTTTGCAATTTTTGTTGTTGTTGTTAGAAAAGAAAAAAAAAATTCATTTGTCTGCTATTTGGATTTTAATGATTTCTTCTCTGGGGTATCATGTAAGTGTTTCCTGGGAATTGGTATGTAGGTCTTGATCAGATTCAGTTGGGATTTGTTTGTCAGGAATATTTCCTAGCTGATGATGTGTGATTCCATTAGGAGGTGTATTATTTCTGGTTCTCTTTCCTTTTGTAATGTTAGCTACCAGTGAGGATTATTGTCTAGATTCATTAATTCATTAGAGGTTGCAAAATGATACTTAAATTCTGTCATTCATTTTCTATAGATTAGGTAGCATACTGTGTCTAAAACATCTCATCAACTCTTCGGTCTAAAGGACCATTTGTATGGGAAAGAATGTTTGATTCTTTCCCCTTATTTACCAGTTTTCATTTTATTATTTATTTATTTATTGGCTGTGCCTGGGTCTTCGTTGCTGCTCACGGCCTTTCTCTAGTTGTGAAGAGCAGGTGCTTCTCTTGTTTGTAGAGTTCAGACTCTAGAGCATGGATGGAGTAGTTAAGGTGCATGGGCTGAGTTGCTCCAAGGCACGTGGAATATTCTTGGACCAGGGGTCAAACCCAAGTCCCTTGCATTGGCAGGTGGATTTTTAACCACTAGACCACCAGGGAAGTCCTTTACCAATTTTTAAAATAATGAGTTGGTGTCTTAGAATCCTACGAAGATGACTGGTAATTTCTTATTCAATATTGTTAGGAGCTCATGGATTTAAACAGTTTTGATCTAATCAGTCCATTACATTTGATCCTCAAATTACTGTCTTTGGCCAGTGGGAGGTTTTTCAAGTTGGCTCTTGAACCCTTTTAACATGATGCCAGTAGTTTTTGATAGCTCTTTTGCTTTCTGAGAATGTTCAAACTCATCCGCTGCATTTGACTCAATTCTGAAATTGTCTCTTTGCCAACTTTTGTTCCTTTTATTTGAATACAGTGCTTAGAGATGACAATCTAGACACTAGGGATGTTCATTGCTACTGGGTTAATTATTGTTTCTGGGCCTTTTCTATAGACTGAGTCAGGAATTTATTTATTTTTTTTAGTACGAAATAAACTGGTAACTCTTGCATCTACTTCTAGGGTTCAAAGATACTGGTTCTCAGTGATACCAATGTAATTGTTCTTTGCTTTACCCCCAGATATAAGCACAGTAGTCTGTGAAATATTTCTTTCTGTTGCACAAATAATACATGTGTTTATTGTTTCAGGGTTCAGTGATGTTCACTGATGTGTCTATAGACTTCTCTCAAGAGGAGTGGGAATTCCTGAACCCTGATCAGAGGGACTTGTACAGAGATGTGATGTTGGAAAACTATAGCAATCTGGTGTCAATGGGTAAGGAGATCTATACTGGTAATTTTGAGTTCTCCCCTGGAATGTCTGTTTCTTCTGCAGTGACTTTCTCAGCTACTTTTCAAGTTACCAGCTGAATTTCTGCTCCCTGTTCTCAAATAAATGGTCTGAACTGAAATGGAAAGGAAGAGTGGGAAATGGGCAGCTCCCAGTTGGCTATGGCTGAGCCTCTTCTTTGTTTGACTGTTCCCATAGTAGCATCTCTTCCTTGATCATCAAGGGACTGGGTATTACATTTGGGTCTGATTTACCCACAGCCTAACCATGTTCCATATCTTTCCTTGTGAGCAGGACTTTACATTCCCAAACCTCAAGTTATCTCCTTATTGGAACAAGGGAAAGAGCCATGGATGATTGGCAGAGAGCTGACAAGAGGCCTGTGCTCAGGTGAGTGAGAAATGACTGGACCAAGGCAGGGCACTGTAGGTAATAACTCAGTTGATTCATGAAGAAACAGCACCCTTGAGATGTGATCTTGGAAGCTCCCATCAAAACAGTAGGCCTGTGGGAAAAACTAATTCCTTTGAGCATGAGTTTACGAATGACCTGTTCCATTCCTTTCCTCACTTACTGCGCTTCTTTCTCCAATACCCTTCTTAATTTCAAGTAGAAAGTGCCCTTCATATCCCCTGCAAAGTAAACTCTTTTACCCGTACTTTTTTTGTTTCCTATTTTTGGGCTGTGCCACATGGCATGAGGAATCTTAATCCCTGACCAGGGTTCGATCCCATGCCCCCTGCCATGGAAGCGTGTTTGCTTAACCACTGGACCTCCAGGGAAGTCCCTACTTGTATTTTAAATTTTTAATTAATTTATTTATTATTTTGGCTATGCTGGGTCTTCATTGCTGTGCGCAGGCTTTCTCTTCTTTGTAGTGCACAGGATTCCCATTGCGTGGGTTCTCTTGTTGGGAGCATGGATTCTAGGTGCATGAGCCTCAGTAGTTGCAGCTCATGGGCTCAGTAGTTGCAATTCCCGGGCTCTGGAGCAGAGGCTTGATGGTTATGGAGCATGGCACGGGCTTAGTTGTCCCTCAACATGTAGGATCTTCCCGGACCTGTGATTGAACCCATGTCCCCTATTTTGGCAGGTGGATTCTTAACTGCTGGACCGTCAGGGAAGTTCTTCTACCTATATTTTAGATTCAGTTCCTTGCTAGGTTTTCTTCCTCTTAGACTCAACTAAATGTTTTCTGTTACCACTCCCAAAATAGTATGCCTGTGTGTGTGTGCACGTTTGAGCATGTCTGCATGTACCTGCCCCAGCTCCAAGTCCTAGTCTTCATTATAGCTGCCCGCCAATGACTGATTTTTTTTGTTTGTTGTGCATTTTTCCTTTATCCATTATTTTTTATTTCCTAATTTGTGCAAAGGAGTCTGCCATGTGATGCATTTTTCTAATTGTGTCAACTGTTAAAAACTTGGAGTCAAAAAGTAGTGCTAAACAAATGAACCTCTCTACAAAACAGAAACGGACTCACAAGATATAGAAAACAGACTCGTGGTTTCTAAGAGGTAGGAAGGTGGGGGAGGGAAGGACTGGGAATTTGGGATTACCAGCTGTAAACCGTTAATATTACATATAGGATAGATAAACAACAAGGTCCTTCTGTATAGCACAGGGAATATAGTCCTTATCCTGTGATAAACCATAGTGGGAAAGAAAATCTACGGGAAATCTAATGGAAGGGAAACAATATATGTATATAGTTGAGTCACTTGGCTGTATAGCAGAGATCAGCACAACATTGTAAATCAACTCTACTTCACAAAAAAAGAACATTAAAATTTTTAAAAAGTAGTGATAAAATATATCCATAAATAACTTTCACAAAGTAGTGCCTGGTAAAAGAATCAGATGGTCGGGAGCTTAGCAGAAAGTCAGGAGCTGAATATTCAGAAATGGATTTAATCTATACCGAAATAGCAGTTGGAGCCTTGCAAGTGATTACAGTCACTGTCTAAAGAGACGATGCTGGGAAAAACGAAAAGGTTTTTGCCTAAATTGGGAATGAATGGGGCAGAGAAGAAGAGATTTGGTATAAAGTAGGTGAACCGAAAGAATACTTACAGAACAGTACTATATACTAAGCTTTGGTTCAGATGCTATGATTATAATATTGAACAAAGCATTTAAAATTCTGCTGTCCTGGAGCTTATATTCTAGGGGATGCAAGAGAAAAAGTATATATCATATATATATATATATATATGTCAGATGATAAATGCTATGAAGGAAGGTAGAGAAGGCCTTTTTAGAATTATTGTTATTTTTCTTTAATAAATCTCTTTCTTACTTTCATGTGTTTATTTGGCTGTGCTGGGTCTTAGTTGCAGTACATGGGATCTTCTGGTTGTGGTGTGGAAACTCTTAGTTGCAGCATGTGGGATCTAGTTCCCTGACTGGGCCCCCTGCATTGGGAGCATAGAGTCTTAGCCACAGAACCACCAGGAAAGTCCTGAAAGGTCCTTCTGATGAGGAAGGAAGTGAGGGAACAAATAATGTAGATGTCTGGTAGAAGAGATTCAGGCAAAAGTCAGGAAGAACGAAGTTCCTGAGTTAGGAGCTTTTTGGTTCCTGTCTTTGTGATTGGAACAGAATGAGCCGAGAGGGAATTATGTGAAAGGAGATCAGCAAGGTAGCAGGATGCGTGAATGTTTATGTGCTCGATGCTAGTGGGAGGGAGGGTGCATCTGCGGATAACTTGAGGTCTTATAGGGAGGGAGGGTGTATCTGCGGATAACTCGAGGTCTTATAGGCCTAGGTATGGGCTTTGAATTCTATTTTGTGCTCAGTCGTTCAGTCACGTCTGACTCTTTGCAACACTCTCGCCTGCCTGCCAGGCTCCTCTGAGAAGTAAAGCCATTCCATTCTGAGTGAGGTGATTTGAACAGGGGAGTGACTTCATGTTTTTAAAGGATCCCTCTAACTCAGTGGTTGATAATTTTGGATTCCTTTGGATAGAATTGAGAGAACTCATGAACTTGGATTAAAAGAAAAAAAAATGCATCTTTACATCTAGTAATCTGTAATTGAAATTTAGCATGTCTTCCTATTATTATGTATGCAGCAAACCATGATAGTGTTAATAGTTTCTGTGACTTTGACATGAATGGAAATCACAGATATTTTCATATCATTTTACTGTTATTGTAGACATACTGAAATATCATTTGTGGTCATCACTATTTCAGAATTACAGGCTCACTGCTAGGACTTACTGTTTAATTTACTTATTTATTTATGGCTGTGCTGGGTCTTCATTGCTGCTTTCTTTAGTTGTGGTGAGTGGGGGCTACTTGCTAACTGTGGTGAGCAGGATTCTCTTTGTGATAGTTTCTCTTGTTACAGAGCATGAGTTTTAGGGTGCACCAGCTTCAGTAGTTGTGGCACACAGGCTTAGTTGCTCCTTGGCTTTTGGGATCTTCCCAGACCAGGGATAGAACCCTTGTTCCTTGCATTGGCAGGCAGATTCTTAACCACTAGACCACCAGGGAAGTCTGGTCTTAGATATATTCATAGAGAAGAAAACTCCAGGCAAAGGGGAGAACCTCTGTGCAGGCCCTTCTGAGAGGGGAAGGGTTGGTGTGTTTGAAGAATGGAAAGAAGTCAGTGTTGTCACCCCCAGGAGCAAGCAAAAGCAGAGCATGAGTTGAGACTGGAGAGACAAGTAGGAACTACATTATTCAGTCTCTGCTGGATTTTGAGCAGTGGAAGGCTGGGCCAAATGTCATTGGTGCTTGAATAGGTTAGAGAGTATGAGAACTTGGTGGGGATCTGAGTTAGGAGTCTACTTGAGTGGTCTGAGTTAGAGACTACTCTGAGTTAAACTCTTTCTGGTTTGAAAGAGGGCATTGGCAGTGGTGATAAAAAATTACTGAGGAGGTTAACTGGATGAAAGTTGCTGAAAGATCCTATGAAGGTAGGAGGAAAAGAATATACTGAAATGAATTCCCTGTTTCTGGCTTGAGATATTCTAATCAAGTCTATTTTGATGTCTTCAAACTGTTCAATTTGCCTAAAATATCCATCAGCTGTCATATACTGAACGCTTTATTCAACAACATTTACTATACTTTTCCTCATCCTCGTAATAATCACAAATTAAGGATTAGCTCCTTTTTACAGATGAAGAAATGGGGACTAGAAAGGTTAAATAATTGCCTTGGAACCTGTTGTGAGTGACTGTCAGTTTTGGGGCTCAGCTCTCATTAGTCTGCTTCTGACTCCTGTCATCCTTCCATGACAGTACCTTGCACTGTGTCTTATTGTTATTTATAATCCTCATGTGAAACTCTTGAGAATTTTTCTTAAATTGAAGTATAGGTGATTTACAATGTTGTGTTTCTGGTATACAGCAAAGTGATTCAGTTATACATATATGTATGTATATATACACATTTTTTTCAGATTCATTTTCATTATGGTTTATTGTAAGATATTAAATATAGTTCCCTGTGCTATATGGTGGGAACTTGTTTATTTTATATATAATAGTGTGTATCTGCTATTCCCAAAATCCTAATTTATCTCTCTGACTTTTTCCCCTTTGACTTTTCCCCTTTGGTAACCATAAGTTTCTTTTCTAGATCTATGAGTCTTTCTGTTTTGTAAATAAGTTCATTTGTATAATTTATTTTTAGATTCCACATACAAGTGATATCATACAGTATTTGTCTTTCTTTGTGTGATTTTCTTAGTATGATAATCTCTGGTCTATCCATGTTGTTGCAGATGGCATCGTTTCTTTTTATGGTTGAGTAATATTCCAGTGTGTGTGGGTGTGTATGTGTGTATATCACCTTTATCCATTCATCTGTCTGTGGCTGTTTAGGTTGCTTCCATGTCTTCACTGTTGTAAATAGTACTGCTGTGAACATTGGGTTGTATGTATCTTTTTGAATTATAGTTTTCATCTTTTCTTAATATATGCTTAGGAGTGAGATTGTTAGATCATATGGTATTAATAACTCTATTTTTAGTTCTTTAAGGAACTACCATACTATTCTCCATAGTGACAGCACCAATTTATATTCCCACCAATAGTGTATAAGGATTTTTTTTTCCACACCCTCTCTAGGATTTATTATTTGTAAATTTTTGGATGATTGCCATTCTGACAGGTGTGAGGTGGTATCTTATTGTGGTTTTGATTTGCATTTCCCTGGTGATTAGGTTGAGCACCTTTTCATATATCTATTGGCCATCTGAATGTCTTCTTTGGAGAAATATCTATTTAGATTTGCCCATTGTTTGATTGGTTTTTTTGTTTGTTTGATATTGAGCTGTATGAACTATTTGTATATTTTAGAAATTAAGCCATTTTCAGTTGCATCATTTGCAAATATTTTCTCCTATTCTGTCGGTTGTCTTTTCATTTTGTTTATTGTTTGTTGTGCTGTTGCATTGTGTCTTTTTTCTCTCTGTATGCCTTAAACTTCAGTGGCCTCCCCTCCCAGTCACTGAGGTGGTATTAGTACATGAGCAAATTTCTCTCTTGTCCCAGGATCAGCATCACAAAATTCTAAGGCAAACAGTATTTTCACTGAATCTCCAGCGCATAACATATTCTGAGTCTTCCCTATCTGCTACTCACATCAAATTAGTTCAGTACCTTAGACTTTGGGCTTCCCCAGTCCACAGTGGTAAAGAATCCACTTGCCAATGCCGGTGTATTCAGGAGACACAGGTTAGATCTTTGGGTCATGAAGATCCCCTGGATGAGGGAATGGCAACCCACTCCAGCATTCTTGCCTGGGAAGTCCCATGGACAGAGGAGCCTGGTGGGCTACAGCCCATGGGATCAAAAAGAGTTGGACACATCTGAGTGACTGAGCATACATTCACTTTAGACTTATCTCAGGCTAGCCCCCATGTGGCTAACTGTCTGATCACTTTCAATATGTCCTCACATCCAATAGTCCTTTATTATGGACCCTATTCTTCTTTATCCCCAGCTGGGTGAACTGCAGTTTACTTCTGACTCCCAACAACCCAGAGTCAGCCTAAACCCCACAGGTTAACAGCCAGCCTTCCACAAGACTGCTCTCACTCCTGACCCCAGCTGCGAGTCCCACCCAAACTTCTGACCAACTGACTATAAATTCAGGTATTTCCATGCCCCCCTGCAGGCTCAATAATTTGGTAAAACAGAAGACTCAGGGAAGTGCTATACTTATAATTGAATTTTACTATAAAAGATATCAGATGAGCTGGTAGGCTTTGGATGCAGAGGTTCCACACCCTCTCCCTGTGAAGCACCAACCAGAAAACTCCACTGAACTTTGGTATTGAGTTTTTATTGGAGCTTAATTACATAATTATATTTAAGCATAATTAATTGGCATAATTGATTAGGGCATCAGCCACTCAATCTCTGGCCTCCCTCTCTTTCCCAGGGGTCAAGTAGCTGAAAATCCCAGCCCTCTCATCATATGTTGGGTCTTTCTAGTGAAGAGTCCCCATCCTAAATCTGGGGACCCACCATGAGTCACCTCATTAGCACAGTGAAAACACTGCTATCTCTCAGTAAATTCAAAGGATTTTTGAAGCTCTTTGTTATGAACTAGGGACAAAAATCAAATTTATACTTTATTATACCAGAGAGCCCAAGAATCTTTCCCTGTATACTTTTATTCCTCTTAGGAGACCTTTAATGGATGTAAAAAAAAAAAATAGCCACTTTGTATAATACATATAGTATGATGATATACTTTGTTTCTTACATATACATATAAGCTCATATAGATGTATATACTACTAGTCATCTTTTATGCCGAGGTATTGTATATTTATCAACTTTTCCAAATGACTCTGGTCCACATCAATATTTGAGAATCATTGTGGTTTTCTATTTCCATAGATTCTGCCTGCCACTTCCTGCATTACATCTCATTAATTTTTGTGTATTTCTTGTCCATTTTTCAGATGCAACGGATATACTTGAGAATTCTATGTCATTTACTACCACATAATTGTTTTTACTTTAATTTTTCCATTTCTCTTATAGAAGTTTACCTTTTCACAAATGAGGTGGGAGAAGAATATTTACCTTTTATTTTCTTTCAGCTCTGGAATCAATGTGTGAAACCAAGTTATTATCACTAAAGAAGGAAGTTTACGAAATAGAATCATGCCAGAGGGAAATGATGGGACTTAGAAAACAAGGCTTTGAATATTCCAGTTTCCGAGATGTTTTGGAATATAGAAGTCACTTTGAAAAACAATTGGGATATCAAAATGGGCATTTCAGCCAAGAAATACTCCCTCATGAGTACATGCCCACATTTATTCAACAGACATTCTTTACTTTACATCAAATTAACAATGAAGAGAAACCCTATGAATGTAAGAAATGTGGAAAGGTCTTTAGTCAGAATTCACAATTTCTTCAACATCAGAGAATTCATATTGGCGAAAAATCTTACGAATGTAAAGAGTGTGGGAAATTCTTTAGCTGTGGCTCACATGTTACTCGACATCTGAAAATTCATACAGGTGAAAAACCCTTTGAATGTAAAGAATGTGGAAAGGCCTTCAGCTGTAGCTCATACCTTTCTCAGCATCAGAGAATTCATACGGGTAAGAAACCCTATGAATGTAAGGAATGTGGGAAGGCCTTTAGTTATTGCTCAAATCTTATTGACCATCAGAGAATTCACACTGGTGAAAAGCCCTACGAATGTAAAGTTTGTAGAAAAGCCTTTACTAAGAGCTCACAACTTTTTCAGCATGTGAGAATTCATACAGGTGAGAAACCCTATGAATGCAAGGAATGTGGCAAAGCTTTTACTCAGAGCTCAAAGCTTGTACAACATCAGAGAATTCATACAGGTGAGAAACCGTATGAGTGCAAAGAATGTGGCAAGGCCTTTAGTAGTGGCTCAGCACTTACTAATCATCAGAGAATTCACACAGGAGAGAAACCCTATGATTGTAAGGAATGTGGGAAGGCTTTTACTCAGAGCTCACAACTTCGTCAACATCAGAGAATTCATGCTGGTGAGAAACCTTTTGAATGTCTTGAATGTGGGAAGGCCTTTACTCAGAACTCACAGCTTTTTCAACATCAAAGAATTCATACAGATGAAAAACCATATGAATGTAATGAATGTGGAAAGGCCTTTAATAAATGCTCCAACCTTACACGACATCTCAGAATTCATACTGGTGAAAAGCCCTATAACTGTAAGGAATGTGGAAAGGCATTTAGTAGTGGCTCAGATCTCATTCGTCATCAGGGAATTCATACTGATGAATAATAAAAGTTAAAGCTCTTCTCACCTTCCCGATCTTTTAAACAAAGAGAAAATTAAGGTTTGATAGTTATCCTCTTTCACTATTTTTTGTTTATTTTATAGAAAATAAATACATTTTAAAAATATATTTCTTAAAATATATAAAAAATATATTTCTTAAAATATATTTAATCCAAATATATTTTACTCTAAGTTAGGAATTTGGATTCTAAATTGATATTTGCTTGTCTCCACCCCTCTCCTTCCCCACTCCATCTTGTATTAATGTCACTTCAATAGTTTTATCCTTTCCTACTGTTTTGTTCTAGCTTCTTGGTGATATATTATATTATTGTTTATATTTGCTTGAATCTCAAGGCTATTCTCTGATCTATATGTTTGTGCTTACACCAGTATCACACTGTTTAAACTGTGTGACTTTGTATTTTTAATTCCTTGTAGAATTAATTATAATCTTGTTCTTGAAGTAAGTTTTAATCCTTTTGTTTCATTTCACACATTTATATTTTCTTACTAGAAAACAATATCAGAAAACTAGAACCTAAAAAAGCCAGCATTAATTGTAATCATGCCATCTATATATAGATAATGACTCTCAATTGGTAGAGCAAATCCTACCAGACTTTGCTTTTAAAGAAAATGTAGTCATGGTACACATGTTGTACCTTTACCTGCTTTTATAATATAGTCAAAAATATGATTGCTATTTCAGTATATAGAGATTTTTATTATTTTTATTGATATATTTAATGACATGTTTAAATGACCTTATTATTCATGTTATGGTTGCATCTAATTGTTTTTGGTTATAAAATCTTCCTTTATTAATATGACCCAAAGTTTATCTTTGGATGTTTTGGCTTTTTCCTTTTAAAACATCTACTTTAGTTGGTGAAATTATCTACATTTTGTCCTTGTAAACTGTCTTATTCCTTTCACCAAGCCTAACCCCAGTCTCATATGAGAAAGGTAATTAACCACCATTATCAATATTATTTATCTTTCCAGATTTTTTTAACTTTTTACTTATATATGTTAGTGACATTTTCTTTTTTATGTATTAATAAATATAATCATGCTGTATGTGTTGGTTTGTTGTGATGATTTGATGAATTAATAAATATTCAGAACTTTTCCTATCATGTGGCAAATATCTAGTAAAAGTTGTTCATTATCATTATTTTTATACTCATTTTCATAATTACCATTATTATTTGTGGAGGGCTTTCCTGGTGGATCAGGATAAAGAATCCGCCTGCCAATGCAGGAGACTCAGGTTCAATCCATGGGTCAGGAAGATCCCCTGGAAAAGGAAATGGCAACCCATTCCATTATTCTTGCCTGGAGAATCCCATGGATTCTCTGGAATCCCAGAGGAGCCTGGCAGGCTACAGTCCATAGGGTCACAAAGAGTTGGAAAAAACTGAGTGACTTAAACAACAATTATTTGTGGAAAGGATTTTAACCATGTTGTTTACCTTTATCTAAGTCAAAGAATTCATAATGAAAAAAGACAAATGAGAGACTTCCCTGATTGTCTAAGACTTCGTGCTCCCAATGTAGGAGGTCTGGGTTTGATCCCTGGTTGGGGAACTAGATCCCACATGCTGCATCTAAGAGTTCCCACACTGCAACTAAAGATCTCACAGGCTGTAATGAAGACCTGGTGCAGCCAAATAAATAAACAGATTTTTTTTAAAAAAAGAGAGAGAGAAATGAGTGTAATGAACATAAGAAAGTTTATCCTATCCCCATTATTTGGCTTGAAATTTTAAAAGGGAAAAAAAGTTTTTGTGGGTAGTCTACATTCAGACTTCATTTTTATACTGCACAAAGATTAATACCTATTTGAAACCCTATGGATATAATGATGGGTTGGTGAAAGCATAACTGTCAAATAAGTAGGAAGAGATAAGGATATTTTTCCTAATTATTCCCCAAAAAGTAGAAAATATACATGGCACATTATTTGACCAGAATGAGCGACACAGTAACAAAATGATAGCCAACAAATATAAATGTCTGAATATTAATTTAGTAACCCTCTTGATTAACATGGGTTAAGGAACTAAATCCTTAGAATACACATTATTTAAATGTGAATGAATATAAGAATACAATTGAAAAATCTGTGAGTGGCAGGCAAAATTGTATTGGAAGTTTTATAACTCAGTATGCATGCATACATTAAAGTACTAGAAAGATCATTAAAATGAATACAGAACCCAAAGAGCTAAAACAAGCAAAAGTATATCTAAAATATGGGCAGAGAAAGGCATTGTTAGTTATCAAATAAATGACAAAAGTAAACTATTTAAAACAGAAAATGTATCTGATTGAAAGTAGACAAACCACTGATTCAGGTCGGGCAGTATAAGTGACAGCTGAACAGTGCCATGAATGAGAAACAGAAATGACTCTCAGTAAAGGATCTGTCCACATTGCGGGAGACCCAGGTTCGATCCCTGGGTCGGGAAGATCCCCTGGAGAAGGGAATGGCAACTCCAGTATTCTTGCCTGAAGAATCCCATGGACAGAGGAGCATGGTAGGCTACAGTCCATGGGTTCGCAAAAGAATTGGACACAACTGAGTGACTAATGTTTTCATACTTACTACCTATTTAAATGTAAAAGGAAAAAAAAATAAATGTAAAAGGACAGTATCTTTTTGGGTGATTAAAATATTCTGGGATTGGCAGTGTATATACTAAAAACCACTCTATACTTTAAAAGGGTAAATATATACAGTATATGAATTTTATCTCAAACTTAAAAGTACTATAGATGTTTTTTAAAATATATCCAAAAATCTGGACAAAGTGTATGATTTTTAGAAAGAAATTGGATTGACTTGATATCAGAATTGACTAGAGAAGTATAAAATCTTTAATAGATTCTCTCCAAAAGGAACATTTTTTAAACCAAAAAAATAAATGCCAGGGAATTCCATGGCAATCCAGTGGTTAGGACTCCACGCTGCCACTGCTGGGAGTCCAGGCTTGATCCCTGATGAGGGAACTAAGATCCTGAAAACCATGAGGTGAAGTAAAAAATAAATAAATGTCAGCTACACCAAAGACATATATATATATATTTACAGATGAAACTGTGAAATGTGTTAGGAACTCTTCCAGGACACAGACTGAGGTAGCAAGTTATCTGATTTTATGAATCTGTCACAACCCTAATGATAAAACTTGCTGGAAGTACATAAAAAGATAATATGCCCAGAATCAGTTATGAAAATATGCAATGTTAAAAATTAGCAAGCTAAATCTAGTAATCTATTGAAAGGAAATAAATACTTGTCACAATCTGAATTTTGGAACAAAACTTTTCTAAAAAATCTTTATTTAAACTTGCTACTCACTTTTTGAAACTTGGAAATCAAATCAATTTAGTTAATACAGTGTTCCTTAGTATTTGAACTTGGAAACCAAATAGACTTGGATAGCAAGGGGTTCTTGGAATACAACACAAGACAATTCACATGGAATTTCTAGAATCTAAATAACTAAAATATTATAAGTGAAAATATATTATCAATCTTCAATGTCTTCTAGTTGCACCTTTCTTATCTGTATTTGACAGAATGGGATATGTTTTATAAATAAACAAGAGTTATCTGACCTGCTGGAATATCACTGTGTTCATTCATTTATACCCTGTCTACTTCTCGTTTGAAGAGTCTTTAAAACAGCTAATGAATCTAATCATTGACACACATTTAGCATGAGGATGTAGTGGGAGGTGGGAAAGAGGTTGTTAAAACAATCACAGAATTTCAACTCTCATTGCAGTTTGAATGTATGGTATGAAAGGTGTTCACTCCCATGATAGCAAGAAAACCAGGCCAAGATAAAATCATACTTAGGAATAAGTTTAGTAAAAGATATGAAAGATCTTTATATGGGAAACTGCAAAACATTGCCAAGGGAAGTTAGTCAAGGTTTTTTTTTCTTTTTTTCCCCCACTGCATAACTTGTGAGATCTCAGTTCCCCAATCAGGGATTGAACCTGGGCCCTGGCAATGAAAGTGCAGACTCCTAACTACTGGATCACCAGAGAATTCCCTAGAAAAGATCTAAATTGATGGTAATACAATGGCTATGAATTGGAAAATTCAATGTCTTTAATAAAATTTCCCCAAATTTACCTATAGATTCAATGCTCTCCTAGTCAAAATATCAGAATGTTTTTTTACATTTTATTTTATTTATTTATTTATTTATTTTTCTGCATTTCTCATTTTTATTTGACAGAAAAAGTTGCTCTTGCTGTACAGATTTTAAAAAACCAAAATGCCTTTAAGAAACGTGAAGAAAAGTTGGGGGGAGGGGCCACAACCTCACTGGGAGGCCAGGAGGAGCCAACTGATGTCAACTCCCCTTCCTTCTGGGTGTAACTCACACAGGTCTGCAGGTTCCAAACCATCATCCCCCCAGGAACTCAGGGTTAAAGGGGGGCAGTGCCTTCAAAGTCCTTTCTGAGTCAAGACCTGGGAGTCCCAAACCATATCCTCCCCTCCCGCAACTCCCATTCTCATTCCCAACCCACCCCAAACCCCCCAAAACACGTGAACCAGGAAAAACTCACGGAGATTAACATTTCACAGAACAAAGAAAAAAAAGGAGGGAGGGAAATAAGGGAGCCCTCCCCCATGGGATGTTGCCAGGGTTGGGGGAGGGCAGACAAGACCCCATCCCCCGGCTCTGTTGGGGAGAAAAGGAGGGCGCGCCCCACGGCTCCAGAACTTGGGGCAAGATGGAATTCCCCTAAAAGGATTCACGGAGACCTCGAGGAGCGATGCCACACGGGGCGGGGGCTGGGTGTCTCCTTCCTGCGCTTGTGACCAGGGGAGCGGCTGTCCCCACGCTGGCTTCTCCGGGAACCCCACTCGCTGCTGCTCTGCTGGTCCCGCGGTGAGGGCTGGGGTGAGGGGCGGCGGCGCTCAGCGGGCGAGTAGCTGAGGGACCGGGAATCCCGGAGGGAGTCTATTGGCTTCCGGGGGCTGCGGGACCTCCGCTCGCCAGGGGGTGCCTTCTTGGGGCTTGCAGGTTTGGGCAAGGCCTGAGGGCCAGGCTTAGCAGGGGAGGGGGAGGAAGAAGTGGAGGTTTTTTTACATTTTAAATTGATAAAAGCATTCTAAAATTTATAGAGAAATTCAAAGACCTAGAACAACCAAAATCGGTATTGAAAAAGAACAAATTAGAGAACTGATTTCAAGACTTGCTATAGAGCTATGATAAACCAATAAAGACTGTAGTATTTGTCTAAGGATAGACAAATAGGTCAGTGGAGTAGAATAAAAAGTACAGAAATACACCACAACGGACCCCGGAGTTCAACCTGTATATTCTAGCATGTCACAAAGTAATTTGACCATGAAACATTTTCCCTCCTACTTGTCATTAATGTTTGCTAAAATATATCAGCAAGAAGTTAAGTGTAGGAGATTATTGTAGGTAGTTAAAGTATTGGGGGTTAGGAGTTTTGCATGTCTGTAATATTGTATCCTGTAGAAAGTCTCTAACTTAGTCCTGCTCTTTTCACTGAGACAAATCCTTAGTCTGAGTTAGTCTCAGTTAGCCCTAATACTCTAATTGCGCAGTGTGAGTTAGTTAGTTAGTTCAGTTGCTCAGTCATGTCCGACTCTTTGCAACCCCATGAATCGCAGCATGCCAGGCCTCCCTGCCCATCACCAACTCCCGGAGTCTACCCAAACCTATGCTCATCGAGTTGGTGATGCCATCCAGCCATCTCATCCTCTGTTGTCCCCTTCTCCTCCTGCCCCCAATCCGTCCCAGCATCAGGGTCTTTTCCAGTGAGTCAACTCTTCACATCAGGTGGCCAAAGTACTGGAGTTTCAGCTTCAGCATCAGTCCTTACAATGAACACCCAGGACTGATCTCCCTTAGGATGGACTGGTTGGATCTCCTTGCAGTCCAAGGGACTCTCAAGAGTCTTCTCCAACACCACAGTTCAAAAGCATCAATTTTTCGGCGCTCAGCTTTCTTCACAGTCCAACTCTCACATTCCTGAGACAAATCCTCAGTCTGAGTTAGTCTCAGTTAGCCCTAATACTCTAATTGTGCAGAATAATTTTTATCAATTATTATCACTTTGAACCTAATACTCAAGGAGGGTAAAGGAAGACAGCTTCATTTTTGTATTACATTGTTGTTTTTTGTTTTGGCCACACCACACAGCTTGCAGGATATTAGCTCCCCTACCAGGGACTGAACGTGAGTTCCTTGACAGTGAGCGTGGCATCCTAACCACTGGACCACCAGGAAATTCACTCTGATTATCACCTTAAACATGCTCAGTGGAGCTAGGTCCTCTTAAAATTTAATTAAAGATCATGATTTTTTTTAATCACTCCTACTTACTACAGATAATTTCAGCTCACTCAGTAATGTAAATATCCTCTTGCTGAAGGTGAAAGAGGAGAGCGAAAAATATGGCTTAAAACTCAATGTTCAAAAAACTAAAATCATGGCGTCCAGTCTTATCATGGCAAATGCTGCTGCTAAGTTGCTTCAGTCATGTCTGACTCTGTGCGACCCCATAGATGGCAGCCCACCAGGCTCCCGGTTCCATGGGATTCTTCAGGCAAGAACACTGGAGTGGGTTGCCATTTCCTTCTCCAATGCATGAAAGTGAAAAGTGAAAGTGAAGTCACTCAGTCGTGTCTGACTCTTAGCGACCCCATGGACTACAGCCCACCAGGCTCCTCCATCCATGGGATTTTTCAGGCGACAGCTCATGGCAAATAGATGAGGACAAAATGGAAACAGTGGCAGATTTTATTTTCTTGGGCTCCCAAATCCCTGGACAGTGACTGCAGCCATAAAATTAAATGAAGCTTGCTCTTTGGAAGAAAAGCTATGATAAACCTGTGTTTTGTGTTAGTTTCTCAGTCGTGTCTGACTCTGCGACCCCAAGAACAGTAGCCTGCCAGGCGCCTCTGTCCATGGAATTCCCCAGGCAAGAATACCAGTGTGGGTTGCCATTTTCTGCTCCAATGATAAACCTAGATAGTGTATTAAAAAGGTGAGACGTAAAACAATAAATAAATAAATAAAGAGGTGAGACGTCACTTTTGCCGACAAAGGTCTGTATAGTCAAAGCTATGGTTTTTCCAGTAGTCATGTACAGATGTGAGAGTTGGACATAAAGAAGGTTGGGCACCAAAGAATTGATGCTTTCCAATTATGGTTTTGGAGAAGACTCTTGAGAGTCCCTTGGACAGCAGGAGATCAAACCAGTCAATCCTAAAGGAAATCAACTCTGAATATTCATTGGAAGGACTGATGCTAATGTTGAAGCACCAATACTTTGGCCTCCTGATGAGAAGAGTCAACTCATTGGAAAAGACCCTGATGCTGGGAAGGATTGAGGGCAGGAGGAGGAGGCAGCAGAGGATGAGATGGTTGCATGGCATCATCAACACAGTGGACATGAGTCTGAGCAAACTCTGGGAGATAGTGAAGGACGGGGAAGGCTGGCATGCTGTAGTCCATGGGGTCGCAAAGAGTCAGACATGACTTAGAGACTGAACAACAATATAAATATCCAGTCTTCATCAGTTCAGTTCAGTTCAGTCGCTCAGTCATGTCCGACTCTGCGGCCCCATGAGTCGCAGCACGCCAAGCCTCCCTGTCCATCACCAACTCCTGGAGTTTACTCAAACTCATGCCCATCGAGTTGGTGATGCCATCCAGCCATCTCATCCTCTGTTGTCCCCTTCTCCTCCTGCCCCCAATCCCTCCCAGCATCAGGGTCTTTTCCAATGAGTCAACTCTT